AAAAAAAAAAAAAAAAAAGAAAAACGTGTCGGTTTTCCCTTCGAATGAAAGCCCCCCCCTCTTTCGTGTGTAAAATGGCTTTTTAAAATCGCCGCAATAGAAGTACATCGAATTCAATTTTTCAAACGACGATTAAATTACTAATATACAAGAGGTTTAATTTCGATCGATAGCCTAACTTTGCCATTTCTCCTTCAGTTCAATTTTTTTTTGTCTGTGGGGGGACGTTGAACAGGCTATATATGTATATATGTATACGTGTATATACAGGTTTGATTTACTCGTTTAGTTTAGTTTTTTCGATCTTTTTTCTCTTTCCAATATTCCTTTTTCTTTTTTCTTTCTTTTGCATCGATAATCTCTCGTCCGTCCGTATCCCTTCCAACCACGACGACTCTTCCCTCCCCTCATCGTTACCGCCACATTGTTACCCGGCATTGCAGTTAATTCGGCCAAACCAATTTATCGTCGAGAGTGATAACCTCGCTAACCGAATATCACCGAATATCCTTCATAAAACGTGCACACACGCCATAAAACCATGATCCCCGCCTGCTTCTGGCACGCAGGTCGCATGCTAATTTCTGCTCCAGAATATCTTCTCTGTTTCTCTTTCGTCCGCCTGACTGACACGGTTTTGATCTCTGATGTAACGTGTCCACCGCTTTGCTTTTTTCCATTTTTTTCGATTTTGCCCGCATTGTGTCGTTGAGTGTGCGTTTTCTTTTTCTTCGTTTTTTGCCGGCATTGTGAATTTGCGCCAATTGTGATTAAAAAAAAAAAAAGAAAAACCAATCGAAGAACTGCTTCTTTTCTTATTCTCTACGTAATTATCCCATTCCTCGGCGTTTTTTATCCCATTGGAGTAAAGTCGACGAACGATTGCCCTCTGGAAAAAAAAAAATGGGGATTCGATTAATTTCGATTCGTCTAAAGATTTTTAAAGCGATTTTTTCTTCAAGTTTCTCTCTTCTAAGTATTTATTATAAAGATAAGATAAGTTTTCAGAGGGTGTTGTCGTTTCCATCGATTTTCCTCTCAGTTTACCTAGATTAAACGAGAAATAAGCATGATCACGATTCTCGTTTCGATCTCAACACGAAACTTAAATCTAATACGAAATTCGTTCGATCGCTGCAGATCGCGGACTTGAACAGCCAGGTGAACGACCTCCGAGGTAAATTGTAAGTAAACTTACTTTTTCGCAGTAAACTCTTCTCTTTCTCCATCCAACTGTTATATATGCATATGTTTTATATATATATATATTTATATGTAACACGCATCTTGTAATAACGCTCTGTGATTCAGCATGAAACCAACACTGAAGAAAGTGTCCAAGTACGAGAACAAGTTCGCCAAGCTCCAGAAGAAAGCGGCCGAGTTCAACTTCCGTAACCAGCTTAAACAGGTCAAGAAGAAGGAATTCACCCTCGAGGAGGAAGACAAGGAGGTAAGACCGATCGTTTTCGATTTAATTCGAGTCGAAATTTATTTTTTTTTTTCTTAACTTTAGATATTTTTTTTTTTCCTAACCTCCCCGTCGATGGCAATTTTTCCTTCTTTTTCTTCTTCTCTCTCGGATCTTTCTTTTTTTTTTCTTGCTCGTAGGACTACAAGGCTTCGCGATGACACTCCATGTTCTTTGACGTTTGGATTCAAATTTCAGTCTTGTATTTATACGAGCGAGATCGTAATTTTTTTCGAATGATTTTTGACACGAATATTTTCTCTTTTTCCTCTTCTTCTTCTTCTTCTTCTTCTTCTTTTTGTTTTCTTTTTCGCCATACGACGGGTGGGTGACACATTCACGTTTTTTTTCCAGCCATTGAGAAAGACAGTTTTTGTGGCTCTGGTTTTCTTTCCGTGTATAAAAACCCGATCAGCAGGTTTTTTTTTTCCTTGTATTCGTAGAATTTTATTCGTAGGACGCGCCCTTCCTTTCCATGGAGATCAACCGATTCTTTCCCAATCCTCGTTTTATCGTTTATATTCGCACGTAATTGTGAAATTTACAATGTATCGGTTGTACATCGAATAATCGGTCGATCTCCGATCAAAGGAACACCGTCCTCATTTTCGTATAAGTTCCCTCTCCCCCCCCCCCCCTTCCCAGTTGTAGTGATAGTTGACTAGGCAATTGTGTTGTTCTCCACAGCCCAAGAAGTCCGAGAAGGCAGAGTGGCAGACGAAGAAGTAGATTTAAAACAGAAAACAAACACGAGATAAAACGTGTAAAAAAAAAAAAAAAAAAAAAGAGAGCGAATCGAGAAAAAGAAAACGAAAAACTATCACACGCGTACACAGGCCATCGAGTAAAAACACAGATTTAATAAAAGAAAAGAAAAGAAAAAAAAAAGAGAATTAACATTAACACAACGTGTACACACATCCGTGAATTAGAAAAGCAAAAGGTGAAAATCGCGAAAAGGAAATAATAGTTGGTGGAAAAACGTTCTCGTTTTCTACT